TTCATATATAAAGCTGGTTCCTCATTTCTCGGATTTATTGTGTTCAGGTTCTATTGAAAAATAATTGTAACACATTATAATATTACATCATTGTGAATTTTTAGAAAAAAAATTTGAATGTTAAAAATAATACATTAATACCATAATATTATTATCATAACAATCTAAAGTAGGCTACCATAATAGGTACTATACAGTTATAAGTTCAATTTATATATTTTAAATTCTGAGAGGAGCTATGCTGTGTTATCAATTTTTGAGGCAGACAATTTGCTTCAAACTTTAAGTTTAAGGGTGGTTCTGATAATAACTTGATCTTGCTGGTGCATTGGGGGGGGGGGAGTGGAGATCAAACAGTTTCCAAGACTATTCACACCATTCTACGTTGTAATGGTAGTATATATAGGCAGGGCTTGCAAAGGTTTATAATTACGTTATGATTATATCGTTATATTTGACAAAAAACGATTGAAATTTGTAAACGTTATTATAACGTAAAGCGATAATTAAAAATAATGAAATACCTCAAAACAAAATATAACCATTAACAAAATAAGCAAAACGAAATATTTTTAAATCTATTTATTTAAGAGGTCTATTGATTTCGTAGAAACATTTATTTCATGCAAACAATTTAGGAATTGATTATATTATATTCCATATCTGGCCATTACCTACCCGCATTAGTTATTATTTTTTAATTTAATAGGTATTAACTATTAACACTATTTTGAATAACAATATACGCAAAACGTGTACAACGTTTTACTTTTAAATAACGATAAATGCAATAGTGTGTTGTGTAACGTTTTAATTGCAAATCACACAAAACGGATTTTTTTATCAAATGCAAGCCATATTGGTATAGGTACTTTCGTAATTAATTCGGTGCTTTTAACTTATAATTTATGAATTATAATAGTTATATGCAATGATTTTAGCTAAAATTACATTACTGAATTAAGATAATATTGATGATTGTATAAAATATAAATTAAATGATAAGTATACTGGATAAATTTTCTTTAGAAACCATTGCTATATGACATGGTCATGGTGTAAATATTACATAATATAATTTTCGCCAAGATCAGTATGATATAATTATTAATATAAATTATATCCAATAAATGACGAAGATATAAAAAAAAATAAATAAAATTTATACCAATAATAATATTTTACACACGAAAATCTACTATGGTTGATTTTTAAATTATATTTTATATTATAATATTTAAAATCGTCAATAATCAATCGTAATGATTAAATAATACATAATAATATGAACTGAGCAATAAGCAACATACAATTGGTCTTTTAAATGTCGATGATTTAGCTGCATATTTTGTAGTTTTAATGTTTTTACAAAGATACTTTTTTTAATTTTCAATAGAACCATCCAAATATGTATATATTTTATTTTTTTAACCATAATTAATATCTCAAAATGTATTAATTATTTCATTAGTTCCTAAATTAATTTTAGTTTAATAATTGTAGTTAATAAAATGTATAATGTTAACTTAAATTTTATTGTGACGTACAAAATATATTTGTAATGACTAGGACATAGATTTAAATGTAAATTGCTTTTATGTTAGGTTTGTCTTGAACCATAGCATTATAATTACAATATTTGTTTTATATATCCAAATATTTGATAATTAATAATATTTAATGAAACTTTTATACCTATTGTATTTTTTGTTTATATTTTGAGGGTATTTTCTTATATTTTATACAATTTGATAAACAGTTAATTTAAATTAGCCCTCTAAAAATAAAAAAATTATTGTTTTGCTTTGTAATTGTATCGTATAATATATTTTTTTTTTTACCTCTGAACAGACATTATTTATTAGAAAGAAATGTCCAATCTGAAGGATGGAAAACATTTGGGAAATGTCAAATTACATCTTATTGGACCACTCTACAATATAGTATCGTTGGTCTGCATGTGTGAGGACAAGCTATAATTTTTGTCTAGATTTTTTTCGCATGTTCAATTTAAAATGCGTATATCCAATTAAGAGACAATAATAGTGTAGTATCAAAATGTATGTTGAGCATAAGTTCGGAATTTGAAAAATTATCAGTTGTTTTTTTTGTTTTTTCAGCGATAATACCTATATAAACTTCGTGACATTTAAGAGGATGTCAGCGCACTATTAGTTTTATCTTTCTGGCCCACGCTCAACATAGACAAAATGCATTCATATTTCATGCATTTTTTTTTATGTTTTTGAGTAATCATAGAGTAAAATCACCAATTACAAAAACTACAGAGAATATTGATTAGTATTTTTAAGGGTATGGCATATTTATTTGTCTAAATATTGCCTCTAAATAATTTAATATACATTCAAATTTACAATTTTCTTTTTTTAAGTAGAATATTAATAAAAATATTTATATGTCCAACACTGAAAAATATTTTCCTCTAATTTTTGTAATGCTTATAGTAAATATTTATCAAAAGATTATTCAAAAATAATGAAAAATGATTTTACTTAAATACGTTTTATCTATGGACTATAGACTATGTTTATATATAGTTTCATTTATGGACTGTGGGTCTGAGTGAAAAAACAAATATTCCACTGACATCCTCTAAAAAAAAAGGTGAAAGTTATTATTTATTACAAAGCCGGCGAAGATTTGTTTTCCAAAAAAGGATAATTTTTCAGATTTTTTAAACAAGTAGTTTTCGTGTAGGTACTTATTATAATACTATAAGTACCTACCTATCATGCTCTATTGTTAAATTTGATCCTTTACATATTTTGGCTCTGATATTTGGTTAATTGAAGTTATTGGTTGTAGGTAACAGCTATATTTTAACTAACCTAATACCATAGTATTACCACAAGTTAAATAAAAATGTTATCTGTAGTATTACTTTTTATTAAATAGAACTTTTATGGTCCTATAGATATTTTTATTCTTGAGAACTATTTTATATAACATTATCAAACGTTAATTATTATTGTTTACATTGAAAATAACGATAAAAAGATTGTTGCAATTTGTTTAGTGTGTTAAATGTGGACTATATCAAAGGTTACACAGTTATTTAATATACAATTAATTTTCATTAGATATTAAAAATCTATTAGTTGTAATCAAATGAACTAATTGTAATGATAAGGTATGCATAATATATTAATAAACCGATAATAATAATATATTACCTATATACTGTTTAGTATGATACTTTTATCATTGGTATGTGAAATTTACAGCTATACCTAGGCATTTTTAATATGATGTTATTCAGCTATCTCGTACGTTTTATATATACTATATTAAAATGAATTTATTATTAATTTTATTGCTTTTTGTGCGCATCATATATTCATTTATGCACATAGCACATTACAGATTCTGTACGGAGCCAAAAATATATATCGGTGGAACTATATTATTTAGAGCAGTAAAAAAAAAATGTATTCTTCACCTTTTTTGACAGATTGAGACACTCAGACCATAAATAGATAAATACAGATTGTACTAGGCATAATTTTTCAAATTTCTCAGTAATTAAGTAATTTTCGAGCAAAATTTAAAAATCATTTAAAAAATATGAACTACATATAACCTTTATGTAATTAGGGATATAATAAAGGCTCTGTTTTTAATAAATATTGATGGTTATTTTTGGTTAATTTTTCTGAATCGTTGTTTTTAAATACTAACGCTCTCGCTTCAGTGGTTCATATATATATTTTTTTAAATATGCTCAGGCTATAAAGAAATATTTATATATACATTGTTTAAGCGTGAACTGTTATATACAAAGGTGCCTGGCATATATGTATATTGCACATTTTATTTTTACATTCTTACATAGATATCTACCTACAATTTTTATCAAATACAAATATCATAAGAATGTAGAATTTATTTCTAAAATCATTTGCATTGAGTATTTTCCCTGTAGCAAAAATATATAATATATTTTTTTATTAAACACTATTATAATATAGTAGTGGTTATTGTAGAAGACACACGAAGACTCCGATATCATGGGTTAACATCGTTGATGATGGGTGTATGCGTATTTAATATAAAACGTTGACGGGCCAGCGTTACCCGTTGGCATAAAAATGCCAAGGACGTCGTCACCGAGAGGGAACATATACGGCACCACATTATAGTTAGTAGAGAAAGCACTAATAATATATAGCACCCTCGAAGTACGGTTTTTGTGACGGGAGGGTGTAAGAAGTATATATGAAGTATATTGAGGAATATCTATATACTCACACACACTCACACACACACACACACACATATATATATATATATATATCATAAACGTATAGAGGGGAATGGACGGTAATCATCATCGGTGATGATTCGTGCACGTTTAGGTATTTGACTTGCCCGTGCAGCTCATGCCGCCGCCGCATTCTTATACTTATTTTTTCCTTCCTCTGGTCTCTCGCCCTCTTAACTTTTGTCCCCACTTTTCACCCCCAAAGCCAATATGCCTCGTTGAACAATCATTAGCGACCGCTGAGAAGCAATAAACGCCGACGGTGTCTCTTCGAATCACTTATAAGTGTGTGTGTGGCTCGTGCCCGAGTGTGCGTATCTATGTAAAAGGTATATAGTGTGTGCCGCACATACCTTTTAAGGGATATCGATAGGGGTGGAATGGGATATCCCCCTCCTCATATCTGCGATGATCGTGGTTGTGGAATCTCGGGAATCCGCCGCCACCGACGACGACCGGAATAATAAAATTTAAAAAATATTTAAGACATATTACTCTCCGTCATCAGTCCGACCCCTGTAAAGGAAGCAGGATGTTCTCGCGCGTCTCCATTATTAAATTATAATACGATCGTCAGTGTTCTCAGCGCCAATTCTCGCTCGTATATCCCGTGAAAATACCATCACCTCTTCGTGATTAATGTGCATATTGTCACCCAATATTATAACATATTAAATTTTTTTTTAAATGTTTAATTATTTAAGAGACAACTCCAAATATGACTGGTATTGCAGCGAAGACATCAGCAATGTTCAACAACGGCGTGACCAGCGTCGAAGTTGTGGACAGTGATAACGACGATATTGGTGTTGAAACGAGTGGAATAAAAAAGTTATGGGTACCATCAATGAATAAATTTCGACAATTTTTCAAATCATCTCCGAGTACGATGTCCAGTAATAATAAACGTCACTGGCGCAAGCGTCAAAACAAAACAGATACTGAGAACGACCAGTACTATGACCCGGACGATGATCAAGACGATTACAGTGACAAGCAGGAGCTACACCAACATGTTGATGATGGAAATGGTAGTAAAAGTCATGACATAGAAGAAGATGACGATGACGATGAAGAGTATCAAGACGAAGACAGACAAGTGCGAAAGAAAATGCTCAGAAAACAAAACAAGAAAGAGGTAGAAGTAAAAAAAAAAAGTAAGTGTTTTCTAATCGATTAACATTTTTCTCTAATAAAATATTTCGAACTAGAATTTGTATTATTTAAACTTTTTATTTTAGAAAATACTGAAATACGTTTATTACTGGCTAAATCATCAGATGACACTAAAAAGAACTCAAAAATAATTTCGGAATCTACCGCTGTAGTCTCGATAGTGGACGAAATAGATTGTAAAGAAAATCCAAACACTAATATCAATGATGGTGAAAGGGAAACTTGGGAAAGGAATGCAGATTTTTTGCTATCTATTATTGGGTTTGCAGTAGATTTGGCGAATATTTGGAGATTTCCATATCTTTGCTACAGAAACGGTGGAGGTTTGAAAATAAATGAAATATGCTAAAACTATGACATATAGTACATTAATTACTAATTATTGTGTTACAGGAGCATTTTTAATACCGTACTTTTTAATGTTGATATTCGGCGCGGTTCCCCTATTTTATATGGAACTCATATTAGGCCAATATAATAGACAGGGGCCAATAAGTGTGTGGAAGAACGTATGTCCTCTTTTTAAAGGTACATTTAAAGTAAAGTATTGCTTAAAACAGTTTTCAATCTGAATTAAAACTAAATAGTACGTTGATAAAAATTGTATTTTATTATTATTCATATGACCATAATATTTATAGATACTTACCTCTACTAATTACTATATATTTTTAAAAAATAAATAATTACATTTTAGAAATTCTCGCTTAAAAGTTTCCCAATGAAAAAGTCTTCTAAATGGCAAATTGAAACTTATTTACTCTTGATAAATAGGTATATATTTCACTAGTTGGTATAATATATTTATTACTTTTATTACATTAAGTTGAATAATAGCGTCAAACTACGTCCAAATAATATACTCACTCTAAATAGGCGTTTGTAGTGATTCGATATTTACTACCTACATCAAAACAAAATAGCTTTTATCTTTAATAATTAAAATAAAATAATAAGATATTATATTCTAGTTACATTAATTTGTTTGTGATTATTACTTTTTAATCAAAGTATTAAATTACACAGGTACAGTGGTACACATAGTATAATTTGATTGTTTGACTGCCAAAAGCTTTCATATTGACAGTGTACACAATAAATTTGGAAGAAGCCACATTGTAATGATAATGTTGTAAATATTATGGAGAGAGGTTTGATGGAATTTTCTGAATATTTTTTTAGTATTTTATCCGGGAACTTTTCTTGAGAAAAGTTTTAATTCATTTTAATAGGTATTTAAAATTGTCATTATGGTCTACTACGTTACATCATATGAATGATACATTTTTTTTAATATGGTATCTTTTATATAAAATAACTGTAATTAAAATATTGCATTAAAAAGAAAAAGGCCGATTTGAGTATTTTGAAAGGTAAATAAATGGTACACATTTCGCCTTGCTTTTTGTTTTGTCGTGTGAATAATTATTTTTTGTATCGACTAGAGAAATTAAAATTGACAACATAACTTAAGCGTTTAATCAGAATATAATATTTATTAGTAGATAATAAAAAAAAGTCACGATACTGTAATATAAATTCCAGACCATAATGGGTGATAATGAGTCATAGTGATATAGCAAGGCGATATTTAAAATCAAACATTGAATGTTGAAATTGAACTTATTTATTCAATGTGGAAACTACTCATGGCTGTACTTTAAATACTAAAAATAAAATAATTCTCAAGTACCTATTATTTTTCTCTTAAAAAAGAATTTTCACATGAAAATGCCGACTAGCTATATATACCTATACATAATTCATTGTAGCGTTTACTATAAGAAGCAAATTAAAAGCCTATCTTTGCCATTAAATTAAAATCCTTGTGTAGGTGCTTTCCTTAGAGATTAGAGAGCAACATTTTTACATTATAACTTTAATTTCATAGTAGTAACATAATATATTTCTGTGAAAATGATTAAAAAGTAATTACCAATTAGTTATCTAGTCATCTAGAGATCGCTGAAGATAATGCATGTGACTCAATTAAAGTGATACAAATATATTGTAATATTCTTATAAAATAGTTTTTCTAACGATTTATGATATTTAAATCTATTTAAGTCTTGGTTTTTAAATATATTTTTTTTAATTTAAAAATTGTACCTTAGGAGTTGGATTTTGTGCTGTGTTGGTTGCATTTTATGTATCATTTTACTATAACGTTATTATTGGTTGGTCGCTGTATTTCTTGGCAATGAGTACAACCAGTAGCTCGGGACAGCTGCCGTGGGTGCACTGTAACAATACCTGGAACACAGATACGTGCGTTGAACAGAAAGATGATTGGGCATCGGCCTATAACCAATCGGATCATGTTCATAATTATCTACCTCGGACTCTCGCAAATGGAACTTTACTTTCAATGTCCGATGGTACTTCGATAATAGGCGGTAATTTCAACAACCAAAGTTCACCGGCGGCTGAATATTTCCAGTAATAACAATTTTAACAGTATTTATTTCTGTCTTCTATCCATTTATATTACATAAATGGTCCTCTATCAGCCTATAGGTTACCCACATTAAACCAGAGGCGTGCTCACGGGGGGGGGGATGACAGTGTCATGTTTGGATTAATTTTATCAAATAAAATATATGATAATGCAATAATAGTATATTTACCACCAAATGACGTAGTCTGAGAACAGTAAAAAATTCATACCCCTCAGTTCAAAAAAGCTGAGCACGCCACTGCATTAAACTGTAGGTACTTGTATACTGTGTATATTATGTCTCCTCTCCCACCACAATCATAAGTTATTTACATAATTATTTTGAACTCAATAGTTCGTATAGCTGAGTTTGTGTGTCAAAAACTATTTATTTTTTATTTTTTAAATTATTTACTAAAAATATTTATACAATATGTGTATACAAAAAATACAATAAGTAAATATGATGACAATAAATTCTAGACGTGACAAGCGAGAGGGAAGGGAGCATCCATCGACACTACTTCCATCTACAAAATTATTAAAATATTATTTGTTATAACAACAGTCACTATACTTTACCGGCAAAGAAGGTTAATACTTAACTTAGTAGACTTTGGTTATTCTGCCTAAATTAACTTTTTAAAGTCCAAGACGACAACTATATGTCTACATCAACTTAATTTGTATTTAGTTCCAAATGACAGAACAAAGGTTAATAATCTCTAAAACTTAGACAGTTTTTCCCCAAATCGTGCAACTGTCTAAAATACATATATAAGATGCCATTTAAACGATAACTCTTTTAATACCAAAACACGCTTTAAAATGTGATATTTAAAGCTGTTTAATAATTTATTCACCAAATAAAATAACACCCTTTTTTAGTTACACTAGGTATTTTATTCGTTATAATATTTTATCTAAATCATAAAATATACAAATTATTGTATTTCAATATTATATTCGACATACTTGTATACGTTCGAATCCACGTGGCTCGTTTAGTAGGTATCTATATAAAGTATAAACGGTTGTTACGATTAATATATTATGTGATACTTGGATTTTGATTTATATATATCAGTACGACAGTATATTACAATACCATCAAATGATTTTTTTAATTTTAAAAATTGAATGAAATAGAAGAGAAATTGTATATACTACTAGATAGGTTTTCCAATGTATGACTGCAAAACGAGAAAACTGTATTAATTTAGTCAGTTTACTATGGGATTGTTACGGTCCAATAAAGCGTCGCACGTGTTGACGCATTTCCACGCGAACAAATTTGAGCCATAAATTCTACGAAAATCCAGAAATTAAAATAAAAAATCTATTATGTGAAATTCACGCGTTTATAGCGAAATATCATCGTTGAATAAATAAACAAATGGCGTAGGATATGCATCGTTAGATGAAAAACTTGCAGATTCATCAAAAGTTTTAAATACTTCACAGATTACAAATTCTAAGAAGAAGTCAATCGAGGTCGAGCATAATTGTATGAGTCGCTTACAGGAATCTGGAACCAATTTTAGAATGTAGAATCTCATGAAGTCAGAAGTTTTAAAAGTCATTTTTTTTTCATCAGGAATTTTTATAGAACAGAACAAATTATTAACCATAAATGATTGACCTTATAGAAAACTGGAAAAAAAATATTTTTGAAAACAATTTAAATATTTAAAGTAGGTGTGAGCTATTTATTTTTTAAATCTCTTCTATAGGTACTGATATTTTGTAATCGGCAAATTGTTTCCAGACTATGACAAATTTGTTTTAAACCTTGCGTTACTTTTTGTACGATTTCTCTTACACGAGTTACAAGTGCAGGTTTCAATGTTTCATATACGATATGCATATAATAAAGGATAAAAATACGTGAAACAATCCAATATATTATCTTAAGTTTCTACACATTTATCTTGTTTTTTACTTATATAAATAAAAAATACATAAAATAATGTTATATTTGAAATGAACACAAATTAAAATGTCATAAAAAAAAACATTTTATTGCAACTGGAAGTGTTGAAAGATGGTTATGATTTATCAGGTAGGTAATTTCATATATTCTGGATTTCAGACGTGTAGTTTATTTTTTGGATAAAGCATATAATCTTTGGTAATAATTGACAATAATTTTCATGAAAATGTCTATACCTACTTAATTTTATATAAAATATGTAGCTTATAAAAAAAGTTGATTTTATTTGCAAAATTTAGGAACAACACAGATTCCTAGAAAATAGAAATTAGAAATACTTAAATACATGTCTATCATTTTTTCGAAGTTATTTAATCGAAGCATTTAATTAATTCATTAATTTGAGGTGTAGATAGTTTTTTTTATTATTTTCACGTACTAAATTGCTTGACTGAACAATGAACGTATTAAAAACTTACAATATACTAAAACTTTTCAATTTATTAGAATCATGATAATATATTATATTACAATAGGTGCCTGAATTAAAATTTAAAAATCGTCAAAAAGTCAATATTATAACGACTACCCCAAAGCTTAAAATAATATCGATATAAATATTTGTAATATGGTATATATCTATTACCTAATCTCATCTAAACACAACAATTTCCTTCACACCTTGTCCACAAACCTATATAATATTATCGATTGTCAAGTGTATAAATGTGGGATACACATCAATCCTAGTCCTTGTATTAGTGATATTCACATGATACGAGTGTTTATTTAGTACAATTGACCGTCTTCCTCTCTTGTCACAAGTTAACATAATAAGTTAAAATGTTATCTCGTGTTACGTCTGATCGTCCTCTTGGCTCTTAGGTCTTCGTTCCTACATATAATCGCTATACTACAATAATTACCTGCACAAATCTTTGATTATATTAATTAAAATACCTATCTATATATATATTTGACCATATATACCATTCAATACATTCTTGAATGTTGATTACGTATTAAGACGTATAAATATTTTATTTTTCAAAGCCGCGGAGTGCTTGGCATGCAAATGAGCGACGGTCTCAACGAACTGGGTTATCCAAAATGGCAATTGGCGCTGTGTGTGTTCATCGTGTACGTTATGCTGTACTTGAGCTTGTTCAAAGGTGTTAAGTCGTCCGGTAAGTAATCGCAGACGCAGTAAAATAATAAGCAACTCGAATGACGTCTAACCATTTTAACTCGTAATCGACCACGTGTATCAATCGATGTACGATATTGCGTTGTTTGACATTTAAATAAACATTGTGCACGTCCATTTTCAGGAATTGTCGTTTGGGGCACGGCCACACTACCGTATTTAGTATTGACAATCTTGTTGATTAGAGGTCTCATGTTACCTGGCTCGCTAACCGGCATAACCTATTATTTACAGCCCGAACTGTACCGCCTTTTAGATACACAAGTAATAATTGAATATTTACTCCGGTTGAAGCATGTTAAGGCGTGTACTATACATAAGTTGATTGTTTTGCCGTCAGGTGTGGGTGGACGCAGCCGTTCAGATATTTTATTCGGTAGGAGCCGGGTTCGGGGTTCACTTGTCGTACGCGTCATACAATAATATAAAAAACAATTGTTACACGTACGTACCCAACGATTTTAATAAATAAATACAATACAATACTTTGTTTGGATGTTCTTATATGTACCTATAAATGTATTATATACAATAAAGTCGCATCGAATTCGTATTTTCCTATTTAGTGACTGCTTGATTACAACGGCCGTCAACTGCTTCACCAGTTTCTTTTCCGGTTTTGTTATATTCACTTATTTGGGTTTCATGTCACACAAACAACATAAGCCCATAAGTTCGGTAGCCACTGAGGGTGAGTTATGACGCTTATTGGCATTTCACGGTTTGAAGCCATAGCGGAAACGTTACATAGTATTATTAATATATTATTATCATCGCGATTTGTTTAGGTCCTGGTCTGGTGTTTCAAGTTTATCCCGAAGCTGTAGCAACGTTACCCGGATCAAATATCTGGGCCATGTTGTTTTTTTTCATGTCCATCACGTTGGGCATTGATTCGGCGGTAAAATTTAAATATCATGTTATTCATCTGTGCATAAAATAAGTATCCATCATAATATTATGTCCCGAAACATTAATTTTGTTGGTCGATAACTATAAAACATGCATATTGTCGTTGTACTTACACGTATGTTATATTTATTCGATTGTTTCGTTTAGATGGGTGGATTAGAATGCGTCATTACTGGACTGATGGACGAATTTAGTGGCTTCTTTAAGAACCGTAAATGGCCACGTGAACGTTTCACGTTTGCAGTCATAGGTATATCGTTTTGCGTGGCTCTGATAAATGTGACACCGGTAAACTATAATACTATACTGATTAAATATTCAAAACGTCTATTATGTTTTACACGGACGATATTTTATACTCGTGTGTGTGTGTGTGTGTTTAATTTAGGGTGGCATTTATATGCTTCATTTATTGGACACGTATGCTGCTGGTATATCTCTGCTGTGTTCGGCATTATTTGAATGCATAGCTGTATCGTGGTTTTATGGTAAACAGATATTGAAATTAATCAATCAGTTTAGAGATTAACATTTTTCTATCATTGTCTATTTAGGTTTGGAGAAATTTTGCGACGACGTGGAGAGTATGATCGGCCACCGTCCCGGCCTATATTGGCGATTATGTTGGAAATTCGTCAGCCCAATGTTCATTATAGTGAGTTTATAAAATATAATACGTATGTGTTTAATATCCGTAGTTATTTTAAAATACATACACGTAACAATAATTTAATTAATATGTAAGCATTAGGTGTGCATGTTAAATTCAGGAATTACTAATTAAAATAGCGACTATAGGGCTACTATTGTAAATGAGCAGTAGGTATAATATCGATTGGTTGGCACGTGAATGTCAGAGCTGTGTTGTTCATTTGGCAAGCAATTTGATTACATTGCTAAATACTATGCAAACTATTAAGTAAATCACCTAAAGTATATTTAGTGACAGTTGTGTTTTCGAATTTCATAACAATTATTACGTTCTAAACTATAGAATCTAAAGGCTAAAATTAGTAAATTTAAGTTGCAATGGAAACACGTATAGGTACTCAATGAATTCATTTTTATTTGCTACGAAGCTAAGAACGTGATATTATGTATAATTTAATATAATACTTTGATTATAAATTTATATAGACGCACGATCTTAAATCCATACAAATTTGTATAACATATTGTGAAGTATCTAATAACATTATGAATTACTCAACTTTGACGGTTTTGCAGAGTTGCGATTAGAATGGTTGCTCCTACCCCTTGGGAGTTGATTAATTCTTTTTAATATGTAAATATTAAATAAAAACATTATATGGAATTTATGAAGAGTAAATAATAAATATTATAAAATTTAAAAATTTAAAAATATTTCAAGAATAATGCGCAAGTATAGACTTGGGCAATATTCGGCAAGAACAATTTTTTGTACATAATTATTTGTACATGGACTAAATTCAAGGAAGTTTTTTTAAAACCAATACTGTTTCCAACTTAATTTAAAATTACAATAATTATAGTACAATTATGATAATTCACTTTTTAATAAAAATTAGTCATCAGTTTTAGATCAGTGCTTATTAGAAATAGGTAGGTATTAACATAAATAATCAGAAAATCGAGAAATTCGGAAAAATAAAAATAAACTTCATATTTAGAAAATTCTGTTGAAAAAGGATTGAAGATTTTTGACTCCAATGAAGGTTTTATACTGCCTAGACTAAATAATAAAGAAATTGCGTTTAATGAGCGTTTAATTAAAATAAAAAAAAAAAGCATTGTGTAAACATCACACAATCGTTCTTTTATAGGGAGTAGTGACTTTTGCTTTGATCGATCACCAACCGCTGAGCTATAATGGTTACGTGTATCCAGAATGGGCTGAATGGCTGGGCTGGACACTAGCCTTTTCATCGATACTTATGATACCTGGTATGGCTATAGTGCAAATGTGCAGAGCAAGTGGTTCGTTCAAAAAGGTAAAACATATATTATGCAAATACGCACGTTATATAATTATGTTTAATTATTGTCTTCATTAATTCAAATTGCATCATTGTCATGGTTTAATATAGAGATTGGCATATAACATCACGCCATTGAATGAGCGTGAATCGATGGAAAAGAATAAGGGCGAATGTACTAGATTTCGTCTAAAGCACTGGCTATATGTTTAGTATAATACTGATCATTTAAATGTATTCATGTTTTTTTTTTTTTATAATAATTATAAATATATCGCTTTGTGTTCCATTAATTAATTAATAATACATTTTTGCTATTGCCAATATATTCGTATATTAAAAAATAAATAAAAAAAAAACAAAATAGACAATAGTTAGGTAAGTACGATAATATACGATAATCACGATAATACAACTTAACAGAATTATAAATTATACACACTAATATAACTCATTTTATAAATCTAATTATAATCTGGCGGAACATAAACGTACTTACGTACCTACCTAATAAACTTAATTGTTTATAAACATTATTGTTTGGTAGACTAATTTATATAAAATAACTTTTGGCATTAAGTACGTACTACTTACTCAGTAAGTACCTAGTTAGTATATAATATTTATACCATGTACAATTTAGCACTTGCAACAATATTATTACGTACCCATTATATTATATTACCTATGTTTACATTTTACAGTAAGTTAAATAATGTTTTAATTGTTGTTAAACGTTTATATAGTAATAAATATTCTATTATATCTACGAGACAAAATTTGCAACATTATTGGACGCTCTGTATATATTGTTATGCAAAACTGCCAAGTTTGAAATTATAAAACGTTTTACTTTATATGAACTATAGGTGCCTAAATGTTTAAATATATCGATAATCTTTATATTGTCTTTATATACCTTTACCTATAAGTACTCAGGTAAATTATTTTTTATACACTCAACAGAAATATATTAATCAATCAATATACTCGTAATTATTATTATACATGTATATTATGACATTATAATATTGTAATACTTGTAGTGTGCCTATATAGTTTAAGAGGACTTAACTCTGGTATTTGTTGTCTCCGTCTTACAAGTGCGTAACACAGTAAATGTTCCTCTCAACAAAACACTTGTAGCTTCGTTAGTTTAAAAATTAGAGTGAATTGACCTATTATGAAACTTGATGGTAAGAATATTATCTGTGTTTGTATGTTGGTTTTTTACGATAGTTCAATTTTTTAGCAAGTTATCCGTATATAATATACCGTATATTAAAAATGCTCATAACTCATTTAAAAACTGAATTATCGTAAACAACAAAGATACAAATACAGATAATGTTCTTACCATCAAGTTTCATAATAAGTCAATTCACTCTAATGTTTAAACTAACGAAGCTACGAGTGTTCTGCTGAGCGTAAATTTGCCATGTTACGCACTGGTAAGATGGAGTCCACAAATACCAGTGTTACGTCCTCTAATACGATACGCAATTGTCATTAGTGACATATAAATACACGTAGATACGCTGAACACGCAAACACACGCCATGCACGCACACACACACACACACACACACACACACACACACACACACACACACACACACACACACACACACACACACACACACACACACACACACACACACACACACACACACACACACTTATGCATAAGAAAATGTATAAATCAATAATTGTGTCAAATTAACTGTGAAATTATTATATGTTGCACAATTACTACCTTTAATTAAATTATTTAGATAAAATGTAGGTGTAGGTATATTAAATTAGTTACTTTAGTATTGTTTGTTATACATATTATAACAATATATAGGTACGTTTATAACATTCCATATTTCCATTTACCGCATATTGATTGAGTGTCAATTTGAGTAAGACATGTAAAACTATCTAAGTCACATAATATTTGTAATTCAATACTCTTACATATATACATACATACATACTACATAAATAAATATTAATATTATGTAGGTATTATAATATATCATGTACCTACTTCTACAATTTACTTATTTTTCACAAAAAAAGTTGGTTTTAAAAAATCTTTTTATTAATAATAATCATTATATAGTATACCTATAATCATCATATAGTTTGTAATACTATACCCTAACATGTTATAATGTAACGCATGTCACTAAATAGATAGTTTGTACTTTGATTCATTTATAATTTATAGATATTTTTATTAATTGATTTTTTTTTTATCAATATTTCAAAACTTTAACAGTTCTGTAATCTATTAATCTTTAATGTCAAAAAACGTTATTTTTATGTTAAACTAATTTTTTTTACCCTTATAATAATTATTATTAATTGATAAGTATTATATTGACCAATATAATATAAATAAGAGTAATCAGAATAATTACATCTCAATAATATCTTAAAGACTTAAACAGTATGAGTATTTGTTGTTTACAGTTTAAAAGTTGTGTTAACAAAAGTAACGTAAAAAAAATTACATATTATTATAATTAACAGTTTGTTACATTTAATATGTATAATTTATACTTTACATTTCTTATAGTAGTTACCTATATATATATATATGTATTTACTATTTGATATAATAACTTATAAGTAAGTGTTAACATAATACAATTTAATATTATTACACATTATAGTTGTAACTTGTAAGTTTGAATAATTTAAAATAATAACAAATTAGATATTAGATACAAAGAAACGTTATCAAAGCGTTACTTTTTTGCATTTAAGCAAATTAATAACTTTTGTCAAACGATTTTATACTGTATACCTATACCAAATTAAAATGATTATTAAATACGTTCTTTTAAGAATCTTAAAAATTGTCACTAAATAGAAAAAACAATTTAATCTAACGTAGTTAATTTATCTATACATTTTAGTATTCTTTTAGATTTCATTATTATTATATAATATTTTATAAGTATAACAATTTATTCGTGTCTTTATACCCTTAAAATATTAAGTTGCGTTATTAATAAAATATAAAATAAACATTATTAAACATCGGAAGTACTTATGGTTGTTCGTTATTTTGAATCCCGATTGATGGTTGGTCGTCGTCCAGATTTTAATAACTTATCAGGTAATACATTATACATAACTACATAATACAAATTGTTTATATATATTAAGTATTACCTATATAATATAATGTATGTATAAATAAAAAGAGACAGAGAGAGAGAGAGAGAGAGAGAGAGAGATTTGAAACAAAAATAATAAGTTACTGATTTCTCAATGGTGTTTTGACAAACATTTTTATGATAGATAAAATAATTTAATAGCTGATGCTTGAAGGTGTTTGATACAGAAAATTAATTTGATAAAACTGTGAAATTACATGGAGTTTCTGTAAGGATTTTAAAAAATATTTTTACAGTAAGTTTTTTTTTTACCATTTGGCCATGTTGGAATACGCAACGTTAGTGTGTGAGTTGGCGAGCACTCAATGTGTACCTAAAACACTTGATTTTTTTTTTAAAGAATTAGTAATATATTTTATAATATTATATAAATTATTCAAAAGCTTCTTTTTACAGTAATCGTTAACGGCTTTTTAAAACATAATATTCGTGTATAAATGTATTATTTCAACAAATAAAAAATTAATCTCCCATCAGATATTTTATATTGTTATCATTTGTTTTATTCAAAAGAAGCGTTTTTTTCCCAATATTTACGAGTGCATTATCCATTGTAAAATATGTTTTTACATTGGTACAAACAGAAGATAAAAAAAAAAAACAAAACGATAATCATAACGGCACAACAATTATTTATTCACATCCGCCAAAGTGGTGGAGAATAAATGTTGCTTTGCCCTTGTTGGGGGGGGGGGGTGTATCAAGTACCTATACCTATGTTCAAGGCCCGCCATAAAAATACAAATTAATATAATGTGTATAAATTAGACAGTTTAAAATAATATATCACCATAATTGACGTTCTACTATTATAATGAAGGTAGGTACCTATATGTTTAGCGAATAGTGAACAATAGGTTTTTGGAATTTTTTTTTTTAAATTACAATTAATATCAATCAAAACCACTTTTTATTTTTTTTATAATGATTTCGAGCTCCTTAATTACTTTAATATATATTATATTATTCATAAACGACGAGTCACTCGTTTTAGATGATAATAATAATATAACAACTTACAAGAACGGATATTATATTTTATTCAGCATATTTTTACATTAAGCGTTCAATGCGATAACATTGCAAACGACATAGGTCGAAAAACATGAGCTGACGCACAATATTTTTATATTTTGCCAATACGTACAAAACAGGTACAATTGTACAATATTTCAAGAATAGGCGTATTCTGCAACCGGAAGAATATAGTCGAAACGGCTTCGATCCGTGTATAAAACAGTAAAAGTGTTGCTGGATTAGGATATATTTTAATTATTATTATAAGTTTTGGAGTAGGTAATATTCTCAACGAGAAAATATCTCGTTGTTTTATTTTTGATCCTTATAATATATTAACATCGATTTAAGAATATGATTTTAACGAACTATTTAAACTTATTTTACGACACAACGATATTCCTATGTAGGTATTGTTACTAGCTTTTGTGTACTAGCTGTTTTCCACTCCAGAAAAAAAAAACTGCAAACAAATCGTAATAATAAATACTGGTAAAATACTGTGAACACAGATGAAACATCAAAAACAGTTTTTTTTATTTTACATCTAAAAAAATGACAGTGTTCCGTTGATTTTTCGTGACTCTTTCGATCGTAATATTAAAATAATTAATTCTCATTGCATATATAGTAATAAGTTCTACGTCATAGCACCGCACACCGATTCGGCGGCGTACCGCTGCACGGACTGCCGTTTTCGTTCTGAATTCCTGGTACCAAATTTCGATTATTTCGCAGGTGTGGCCTGAGCACGTAAGCACGTAGCTATTATTATCACGAGATCGAAAAATGGAAGTAGTTTCAAACTTTGAAATTACATAATTAATTTTATCCGCACACATTCCGAATCCTTAATATTCGCATACGAAGGCGTTTTTCCTGGTATTTTTCACAACGATTTCCTTGCAACACCATATAACCGTCCATATAAATATATCATAATGACACGAAGTCTGTGTGTCACCGTCACACAAGTCAAGTTTAGAAGTTTACGAAGTGAAATCAATAAATATTAAAAAG